CTGGATGTCCACAGCGTCATCTAAGTTGTCCACATTGACTGCTACTGTAGCAGCTCAGTCAGCTCCCCCAGCCCCACAGGTACCCCAGTCAATAGAGGATGCTTTGAAGGAAATTCTTGAGAACCAGAAGAAAATCCTCGATACTCAGGATGCATTGACAAAGGCCGTGGATTCACATAGCAAGGCTCTCAAGGAGCTTGCTAAGGAGCATAGGAAGCTACGGAAGACACGGGCCTCCAAGGAGTCCGTGAAGGAGCTGCGGGCAGATGTTGATAGACTGAAGGCAGACCAGCTGCCTTTGGACCTATTGCTTGATGATCCAGTCCCAGCAGCTCATCCACAGCAGGAGCAGACCCAGAGGCCTCCGAAGAGGAGGAGGATGATCCCTAGAGCAGATGATGCTATCATCCAGTTGGCGGACCCACAGGAGGCTTCCTCCAGTCAGCCGCAGGATGTACCAGTTCTACAGCCTGTCGAGGTCCAGGCCCAGGTCCCAGTAGCAGCAGAGCAGACCACCGGGAACCAGTCTGAGGTTCCCGAGCACACAGAGGACCCAGGGACCACCCATGATCCTATGCAGACGGACACGGCTTAGGGAGTCCTCTATATCCTTTTTCTATCTTTTTGGTGCTTATTTGGACTAGTTGGCATTGGGGACAATGCCAGCTTTTATTCGAGGGGTTGCACCCTTCATTTTTGGATGACTGTATATATTGATACCATTTTATGCTTTCTTGATTTTCATTTGGTCTGTATATAATTTTATATTTAGTTACTTTTATCGCACTTTTTATCTTTCCTTTGGTCTGTATATAAAGTTACATTTCATTGTATATATTCATCCCGTCTATTGTATATTCAAATCCCCTCTTGTATATATTTATTCTATTTTCCGCAAAAAAATTTCGTTTTTAGCTTCTTAGTTGTGATTCGTAGCTTCTTGTTTTTGAAATTTGCAATAAGCCTTTGGTTTTCTTAATGCCACGGTTCTATCCAAAGGTGGAGTGTTGTGTGAACCGGGTGGCTCTTCCCAATGATAGATGGCGTGACAACCTTCTTAAGGGTTTGAGTCTGTTTTTCTTTTTGTTTTTAGTAGTTTGTAGTTAAGGGTACCTCAAGCAAAGCTTCACTTGGGCCTAGCACATTTGCCTTTGATCTTATGGTCAAAAACAAATTGTTGTGTTTAGGATGGTGAAAGTCGTGGCCTTGAGACTCTTGTGTTGACCGATAATCATTAAGTGGTTTTTCTGGACCATTGTGTGCTCAAATCGTATCTAAGGTCGTTGTGGGCCCCCGACTCTATGTCTTTAGCAATCCCTTAGCTTGTGTGGTGAGTAATTGAATTGCAAGTCCAAGTCCCGATCCATTGGTCTAGAACTTGCCCTGAATGTTTGTTGAGGCGAAATCCTAAGTGAATTTTGACTTGAGGCGTGATTATAGGCTCTCCTTGATCCAAATGATAGATTGAACAATTCCATAGCCTACCAATGATAAGATCCCTAGTTAACCCTTTTGAGCCTTAGACCTTTTTCTTTCAAGCCCCATGATACAAGCCTATACCTGTTCTAAAAGATACCCTCTCTTGGCACCCAAATCTTTCCTTTAGTACATGGCAAAAGTATAAGTTTGGGGGGAGAGACGAGGATTGCAACAAAGTGGTAAAAAGGCACAAAAGTGAAGAAAAGGAAAGGCAATGAAAAAGAAAGAAAAGCAAAAAGACAAAAAGAAAGTGCAATGTGAAAAAGAATGAAAAGGGATTCAAGAAAAGCAATGAAAAAGAAAGAAAGGTGTGGAAAGTTGAAAAAGGAGAAAAGGTTTGAAATGCATAAGAAAGAGTGACAATGTGTCTCTCTAACCCCTTAGAAAGAAGCGAAATGACTCAAAGAGTCAAGTGAATTGTGCCAAATGAATCAAAAGAAGTGCTTAAGGGAAGATGGAACCCACTTGAACAAAAACATGACCTACCCTAAACCAAAAGCCTTCACAATGACTCCACAAAAGCCCTATATGATCTTGAGTGAATGAAGCTTACATTAGTGGATACTTACATAAGGGGAAAGCATATGGTACCTAGAGCCGGACTTGTGACCTTTCCTTGAGAGAGATGAGTGAATTCTCAATAACCTCGTTTTCTGTGCCATTATACTAAAGGTGAGGTATGCTTAGGGAGAGTTGAGGATGTGTGAGTTTGGGTTCCACAATGACTAAAGTAATTGAAAGAGTTCTTTGATGTGTTGAATCAACTCTTGATGCTCTTGTGTCGCACTTGATCCATGGTTTTTCAAAAGTTAAATGTTGTTAATGATTTGTTTGTATTGAGGGCAATTGTTAATCCCAATTGAGGCTAGTTGGGGTTACTTTAGGATAGCTGAAAATTCTTGGATTTTACCTCAAGGGGTGGGTCTTATTTTGTTTGCTTGAGGACAAGCAAAAGTTTAAGTTTGGGGGAATTGATAACTACGGATTTTGACGTGTTTCATGCTCTTTCTTGCTTATGCTTTGATTATAAATTCTTACAAAATAGACCCAAAAGGCTCATAAGTTGTGCTTGATTGCAGGTTTGATCAACAAAGTGACGAGATGTCAAATATCGGCTCAACAAGGAGTGAAACCTGCACAAGTATCAAAGACAAAAGAAACTCAGGACAAACTAGCCTAGTGCGGCTGCAGTCCATTCTATGCGGTCCGTACTAGGGAGATTCAGAGAACTGGCAAATCAAGTGTTAAAGCAGTGCGGCCGTAGTGGAGATTGTGCGGTCCGCACTGAAGACTCCGCGGCCGCACTACCATTCTACGCGGTCCGCGGAAGCCAACTTCAGAGAGATGTCCAGAGCCTATCATCAAGCCTATGCGGTCCGCGGTCGACTCTGTATGGACCGCGCTAGCTGCCTCCGCGGCCGCGGTCCATTCTGCGCGGTCCGCGGAGCCTGAGTTCAGAGAAGTGAATTTGAAGAGTCAAAAGCCTAGTGTGGCTGCAGTTCATTTTGTGCGGCCCGCACTGACCCCGTAGGGGTATTTTTGTCCAGTTTTTCCAGCTTAGTATAAATAGAACATTTTTCCATTTTTAGAGCAACCAGTTATTATCAGGCATTGGCTGCGCTCGTGAGAAGCTATTTTGTAGCCATTTTGGGCACTTTAACATAGTTTTAGCAATTGAATCATTATCTTTACTTTAGTAATTTAATATTATGTCTTTCTCTTCATCTATTTCTTTGATTTTATCTTCAAGCAAGAGTAGCTAAGCCCATTAGCTAAGGTTGTGGCTCAACCCTAGTATGGGTAATTGATGGGTGTTGTGATTTAATGTTAGATTGATTATGGGTGTTTGTTATTTGGGTCAATTTTATGGTTTAATTTATGAATTAGTGGTTGCAAACACTAGTTTGTGCTAAGTTGACTTGGCTCTTCTTGAGAAAGAGAGCCTAAGTCTTCAAAAATTGACTCAACAAGGAATTGGGATGGACTCAAGAGATTTGATAGTCCCAATTAAAGGGTTAAACCTCGAGAGAGTAATTACCCGACTTGAACCTTAGTTGCTCGGGCATATATGCATACCCAATTGATCTCGAGAGAGTCAATTGGGCAAAACCACTCTTTCTACCGAGAGGTGTAGAGTGGGTAGTATTGAGTAACGGTTATAACATATTTTCCCAATCATGTCAATCGAGCTTTAGGTGCAATTACCCGTCGATTAGCCACCTAGGTGAAGGTCACTACCCTAGTGCCCCTTTAAACTATTAGATACAACTTGTAGCAATTCTCGTTTAGCATAATCTAATTGATTCATAATTAGTAGTTGATAATAGTAGAATCGTAAAGAAAATCCAAAAATGAATAGAAAACCAATTAAGAGCATACACGCAATCCTAAGCTAAATAGATACTCGATTCCAATCCTAGCTCTCTGTGGATTCGATCCCGACCCAAAATCGGGTAAAAGCTATTGCGACCCTCTCTCGCTACTTTTTAGTGGTGCGAAGTAGGCAGCGATCAATTTCCCATAAAATCTTATCTATTTCTGAAATCAATCACTTTGTTTTCCACTATTTTTTCTTCTGACTTTAAAGTTGCAATCTTTTTAGTGAACTGCTGTTTGGGTTTTTCTTCGTATACCTCTGTTCTTACTCTCATTTTTTCTCCTTTTGGTTCCCCCTTATATTTCTGTAGTTATTCACTACTGGATCAGAGCGTGTGGCGGATGTCAAAATCGGTTGGAGGCAGCGGGAAATTGACTAACGTTACTACGGCAGCGCGGCCTTGACATTTATGACGATTCACACAGGTTTTGCACTAATCGGGAGTTGACCTCATGTTCTTCGTTTAATATCTTTGTCTCCCTTGTTAGTATCCAATTAGTTTGCGTTAGTTTAAGCCTAATTCTTGATTGCCTATAATTATCTATTGCATCTGCCTGTATTTTTCTTGCTAGTAACTGTTTAAGGATTTCTAGACTGTAATTTGATTTCTTAGTAGCTGTTCTATTGGCCTTCTTTTAGATATCTATTGTTATCACTAGTTTAATTCTTGCTTGTTTGTTTGTGTTATCTGTACGCATCTCTAGTGGTTAGATTTGTATGTGTTAGACCTGCCTCCTTTAATTTAATCCTTTGTCTGTTTTACTGATAGTCCTAGCTAATTTTTTATAGATTGTAGTGGTTAGGGGTGAGTGATAGTGGAATAAGGTCATGTCCTCGGGTGGGGTGGGGTGGGGTGGCGGAGGGGGGTAGAAGTGGAAAGGGAGTCTCTAGGGAGTGACTGGGGTCCTTTAACGTAGGAACTTAGACGGGAAAGTCTATAGAGTTAGCGAAGATCCTCCAGAAGAGGAAATCAACATAACTTGTGTGCAGGAGATTAGATGGGTGGGTTCGAAGGCTCGAGATGCTGATGGGTTTAAATTATGGGCCTTAGAACGCGAGGGGGATAAGAATGGGGTAGGTATCTTGGTTGACATGGATCTTAGGGAGCTAGTGGTTAGAAGTTAGGAGGGTGAACGATGGGATGATGGCTATTAAGCTGGTTGTGGGAGGGTTTACTTTAACTGTAATTAGTGCTTACGCACCTCAAGTGGGTTTGGACGAGGAGATTAAGAGGCTCTTCTGTGAAGAATTTGACGGGTTGGTACGTGGCATTCCGCTCACCGAGAAGTTATTCATTGGAGGTGACTTCAATGGTTACATTGGGGCGACATCTGGTGGGTATGACAATGTGCATGGAGGCTTTGGCTTTGGAGTTAGGAGCGGAGGAGGTACGTCGTTGTTAGACTGTGCTAAAGCTTTTGATTTGGTGATTCCTAACTCGTGTTTTTCGAAAAGGAAGGAGCACTTGGTTACATTCAGGAGTTCGTTGGCCAAGACTCAAATTGATTATCTATTCTTCCGGAAGTGCGATAGGAGTCCGTGCATGGATTACAAGGTTATACCAAGCGATAATCTCACGACTCAGCATAGATTATTGGTGGTGGACTTAGAGATCGTGAGGAAGAGGAGGAAGAGGGTCGTGTATGGTCAACCCAAGATCAGGTGGGGTGCTTTGACTAGTGAGTAAGCGCAGGAGTTGGGGGAAGTTGTTGGCTATGGGAGCCTAGAGGATCAGTGGGGACACGAGCTGTATGTGGACCACAACAATGGAGTGTATTAGAGTAGTTGCGGGAGAAGTGTTAGGGGTCTCGACGAGTTTCTCTGGCGGCACAAAGGTGACTGGTGGTGGAGTGAGGAGGTACAAGAGAAAGTGGAATCCAAGCAAGTGACCTACTTGAAGCTTATAGAGAGCATGGACGAGGATGAGAAGAGGATGAACACGGAGGGGGTATAGAAGGGCTAATAAGGAGGCGAAGTTAGCGGTTACTGCGGCTAAGACTGTGGCGTTTGGGAGTTTGTATGAAGAGCTTGAATCCAAAGGCGGGGACAATAAGCTATACAGGCTAGCCAAGGTGAGAGAGAGGAAGACCCATGATCTGGATCAATGTAAATGTATCAAAGATGAGGAAGGTAGAGTTTTGATGGAAGAGGCTCAGATTAGACCAAGATGGCGGACATATTTTCATAAACTCCTGTACGAAGAGGGTGATAGGAACGTAGTGTTGGGCGACTTGGAGCACTCTGAGATGCGTCGGGATTTTGGGTATTGTAGGCGCATAAGAGTAGAGGAAGTCGAGGGGGCTATGCGTAAGATGCATAGGGGTAGAGCTACCGGGCCAAATGAAATACCTATGAAATTTTGGAAGAATGCGGGTAGGGCAGGTTTGGAGTGGCTTACTAGGTTGTTCAAAATTATTTTTAGGACGAAGAAGATGCCCGATAATGGAGGTGGAGTACGATGATTCCTTTGTATAAAAACTAGGGCGATATCCAAAGTTGCAATAATTATATAAGGATTAATCTGCTAAGCCATACTATAAAAGTTTGGGAGAGGGTGGTTAAAGTGAGGGAGAGGACCAGTGTGTCCATTTCAGAGAACCAGTTCGGCATCATGCCAGGGCGTTCAACTATGGAAGCCATTCACATTGTGAGGAGATTGGTGAAGCGGTATAGGGAGATGAAGGACTTGCATATGGTGTTCATTGACCTAGAGAAAACATATGACAAAGTTCTGAGAGAGGTGCTCTGGTGATGCTTGGAGGCTAAAGGGGTCCCAGTAGCCTACATTAGGGTGATTAAGGACATGTATGAAGAAGCTAAGACTCGGGTTAGAGCACCGGGAGGAGACTCGGAACACTTTCCGATTATGATGGGGTTTCACCAAAGATCAACTCTTAGTCCATTCCTATTTTCCTTGGCAATGGACGCATCTACGAGACACATTCAAGGTGAGGTGTCATGGTGTATGTTATTTGTAGATGACATAGTTTTAATTGACAAGACGCGGGGCGGTGTTAACGAGAGGCTGGAGGTTTAGAGACAGACCCTAGAGTCTAAGAGTTTCAAGTTGAGCAAGACCAAGATGGAATACATGGAGTGCAAGTTCAGTAATGGTACCTAGGAAGGGGATATGGAGGTGAGGCTTGATACGCAAGTCATCTGCAATTGAGGTAGTTGCAAGTATTTTGGATATATAATACAAGGTAACAGGGAGATTGATGAAGATGTCACGCATCGTATCGGAGCAGGATGGATGAAGTGGATGCTCGCTTTCGGTATCTTGTGTGATAAGAATGTGCTGCTGAGACTTAAAGGTAAGTTATACAAGGTTATAGTAAGATCGACTATGTTGTATGGATCAGAGTGTTGGCTGGTCAGGAACTCTCATATCCAGAAGCTAAAAGTAGCTGAGATGAGAATGATGAGGTAGATGCGCGGGCATATCCGGTTGGATAAGATTAGGAATAAAGTTATTCGAGAAAAAGTGGGAGTGGCCCCTGTGGAGGATAAGATGCGGGAGCGAGGCTGAGATGGTTCGGGCATGTTAAGAAGAGAAGAATAGAAGCCCCAGTTAAAAGGTGCGAGAGGTTAGCCTCGGTGGGCAGCATAAGGGGTAAAGGTAGACCTAAGAAGTCTTGGGGAGAGGTTATTAGGCGAGACATGGCGCAACTGGAGCTGACTGAGGTCATAGCCCTAGATAGGTGGTGTGGAGGTCAAAGATTAGGGTAGAAGGTTCATAAGTAGCCGAGCGTTTCTCTTTGTCTTACTCAATTCGCTAGCATTAGTGTTAGTATGATATCTTTTATTCATAGATGACTATTACTACCTAGAGTTTGACTGCATTCTTGGATTCGGTCTTATTTCATCTTGTTGTTATTCTTACTTGTTGCAATTACCTTTTCTTTTTCAGCCGTTCTCTAGCCGAGGGTCTATCGGAAACAGCCTCTCTGCCCTTCCAGGGGTAGGGGTAAGGTTGCGTACATCTCACCCTCCCCAGACCTCACTTGTAGGAAACTATTGGGTTTGTTGTTGTTGTTGTTGTTTCTTAGGTAGTGTAACAATTTCCCCTTGGTTTTTCTTTGTGCTGCGGTTCTTTTCCAAGGGTTTTACTTGAACCGGGTATAGTTAGCTTTTTCTTTTTGTAGGAATAAAGAATCTTGAGTCATAGTGCTAACTTGAAGCAATTTTCTTCGTCTGCTGATAAGTGCGGATTTTAACCGCTTATTAGTACCTTATTCCTTTAGTTTTAATCCTAAAGTGTTGATTTATATTCCCAAAACTAATAAAGTGTGTAAATTGCATGAATGTTGGAGATTTTGACTCTAATGAAGAAATCTAACTCAAAAAGGACTGTTACGGCTCATAAGGCAAAAGGAGGCGTAGCAGACCAAAAGTGCGGTGTCACGCCCGAAACCTGAAGAGGCGTGGCCGGCACCCGGTGCCATACTCGGCCCGAGCATATCGCTCTGTAACTGTGAACATTGGAGGGGGAACCCTCAACTTAGGCCGATGAGGCCATATTCTGAATCATCTGAAAATAACGTCTCTCTCATATGAGGGGTAAACATACCCAAAGTTTGATATATATAAATGTGCAGGTTGACGAAGCCTCCATGAACATCTGTTGATATACAAAATATACAAGACTCGTCTAGAAGCCTCTAGAGATAATTAAACTGTATCATGGTCGGGACAGGGCCTCGACCTACCCATCAAACCTGTATATATAAAATGGACTCCAAGGTCTAGACCTGGTAACTCCGGGGAAGTTGAGCTTACCAACCAAGCTGATGTTTTACTCTGTCTGCTAGGAGGGTCTATCCAACTGTCTATCAGGACCTACAGGCATGAAATGCAGCGTCCCCGACAAAAGGGACGTCAATACGAAATAATGTGCCGAGTATGTAAGGCAACAGAATAACTGAAAGCTGGAACTGAACTGATAATATAATAACTGAAAGTACCTGGGGGTCAAATATAATTTGAAGATATGCTTACCTGCTGATACTGACTCATCTCTCTCAATATAGTAAGTAAAATATTTGTCCGGCCCTATAAGGCTCGGTATGTGTAACTGCTCTGCCGTAGTAGGCTCGCTCATATGCGCTCGGCCATACTAGGCTCTATATCTCGTCCATTTTAGGCTCGCTCATAGGCGCTCGGCCACAGTAGGCTCAGTATATAATTTAACATCTGATCTGAGGTTGCCCAATAGGGGCCTGCCCCATCGATTATAGCTCGATGGTGGTGAAAATATTGTAATACTGTATATATATAGACTCTCTGCTCTCTTGACTGAAACAAGACAAAACTAAACTGAATATGAAGTCCCGATAAAGGATAATGTTTTAACTTATGAGACTAGGATAATGTACATAAATTCAAGAATAAGAACTTCTCTTTATGCCTCGGTATCATACGCATGTAGTTACAGGATCGTGCCAAAATGAAGAAAATGTTTAGCCTTAACATACCTTATCACAATCTTTCCGATCACCAATTTGAACTCGCCTCTTCGCACCTAAATCTACAACAACGATAATAATACTATCATTAAGTTACGAAAGGTACAACTATCGCACAACGAACGACAAGCTTATTTTGTATAAAAACTGGCAGCATCTCCCCTATATTCCTTGCTTCCTCCAAATTCAAGATAACACCAACAACACAAGGAAAAAACAATATCAACATATATACATTATTTTTCAACCTTATATACACCACAAAATACTACAAAACATCCCAACACACCTCTCTTCATACACAAAACGACCACCGTAGTAGTGTCAAACAGCCCAAAAATGTTATCGAATGACCAGCCCTCCACCCTGCATTTATATGGTGTTTCTCCACACCCTTCCTCCTCCAAAAATCTAGAAAACAGTAGTAAAACACGCAATCCAATAGCAACATAAAACAATCCACAAAACAGTCCGCTACAAGTGAATAACTCGAACTCACGACTTCCTATCACCGTTCCGTGAGTTCTTACAATTATAGAACGACTTTCCATACATCTCCAGCAGAAAAAATGGATGAAAGAGAGCATTAAACTTACCTTATTTTTGAATAACTCAGCTCCTGTCTTGGTTCTTCAAACTCTAGGTTTTACCTCCAACTAGAACTTGGAAAGGAGAAAATCAATTAGGATTTGAGGAAAATTTTTGGGAGGATGTTTGCAGGAGTTTAAGTCTGGTTATTGTGTTATGTAGTGGGTGTTATATTGCAGAGATAAGACCTTAAATTGGGCTCTTTGGCCGACCCAAAATAGACCCTTTTTGGACTCTCATTTAAGCAAGTAGGTGACACACCTACTTGTCACCTAGCAGCCTGCGTAGTCTCGCAAAAATGCATATATCTCTCTACCCCGATGTCGTATTGACAAACTGTTTAATGAGTTAGAAAATGCACTCATAGAGTTTCAATTTGGCAGGTAGATAATCCCCTAATTCTAAGTATATTGGGAGAAAATCTCAGCTACATTTGACCTAAGTTTCAACACATTTATGAATGTAACTTGTGATGACCTTTTCCAACTTTTGTTCCACAACTTGTTTGACTTCAAAACGTAACACACGTCTATCGTACGACTAAAATAACTCATAACATAGTCTCCTTATAATTTAAAGAACCCTATTCTCATCCACTACTAGAAAAAGGCGGATTACCTGGGGATATTTACCT